GGCGACCTACTTACCACTGGCTATCGTGCAGGTCACGGGTTCAACTCCAGGGAACTGTGCAGATACTGTACACAGGTAAGCTGAGGTCAAGGGATCGACCCCTGGGGTCTGCATCGGCTACTGCCAAAGGTGAAAACTGTTTCAACACCGTTAATGTCAATGTCAAGGTCTTATTATGAAAGAAAGTAGCGTGAAGAACGAAGGAAATGAGCGACGTCATCAAAATAACATCTACTACAACGCCGTGCATGTCACGGACTGGCAATTCCCGACATGTTTTGGCTGATGCCAGGAAAAAAATACACATGAGTGCTTCTTCACTCGTGATCTCCGTCGCTTGACTTCCTCCTGTCATCTCGGACACTTGGGAAAAAAAAAAAAAAAAAAAGGATCCGATCACCCAATCACCACATTTCGCGTAAAGCCGCCCCCCGCCCACCGATCTGAGCTCCTGCCATTCTAGAGAAGCAATGGTAGATCTGGCACAATTGCCGTATTTTACTATTTACAAATTCTTAAAGAATTGTAATTAAACGACGAAAAAAAGATCTGGCTGCAGTATTGCTGTTACGAAGTACTGTAATGCCATTGATTACCAGTCATTGACAAGTAGTTGATCTTATCATCATCCTCGGAAAAGAAATGGACATCACCATCATCATCATGGCATCATGGCATCATGGCATCATGGTTTGAATGTGTGTGCAGGTGCTTTTGCTAAATTTCATGATAACGCCCGAGGGGCTGTCCCAACAGCTGTTGACGATACTCGTGACCGCTGAGCGGATGGAGCTAGAGGAAGAGAAGGTGGCTCTGCTGGAACGAGGGAACGCAAGCCACTGCCACCTGGCACAGATAGAGGATCGAATCCTGGAGATACTGTCGGGGCAGGGGGCGGAGGTAGGAGACATGGAGGGAAGTGAACGGATCCAGCCCGGCAAGGAGGAGCAGGAGTTGCCCTGGTCGGGGAGCAAGCTGCAGAAGCGACAAGAGGGAAAGGGGGGGGGGGATAAGTTGTCATACTATGGGAGTGTTCTGGATGACGAGAGCGCCATAGAGGCCCTTCGAACTGCGAAGGCTTTAGCGGAAGAGATACAGAACAAGCAGGTACTATATATATCAAATGCACTGTGAATGTCCTGCTGTTCTTTTGACATGTGGACAGCATGTCCTTTGTCAGGACTATTTTGATGGGATGGTCCGTGCTAGCCGTCCTGCTGAATGCTGTACTGGCGCAGCTCTCTTTGGGTATCCTTGTGAACATCCACGTCATCCTCAGCGTGCCTGTCCTATCTGCCGGGGTGGGGGCTCCTCTTCCTGACTGGTTAATAGAATCAAGCAGGTCAGGAGCAACACTAATTGTAGGACAGATAAAGCATTCGACTCTACCAACAAATATGAAGTTGAAGAAAGTGTTACGATCCTGGTCATTCCCAAAGTGCAAAATCACAATGAAAGACAATGCCACCCAATTGCGAAAGAAATGAAAGCACTTGCAAAGAGATAGAGACCGGAGGAGAGAGAAAGAAGAAGAAGAAGAAGAAGAAGAAGAAGAAGAAGAAGAAGAAATAGAAAAAGAACAAGAAGAAGATGTACACAAGCAAGACCAATGACAATTCCCCCTTCTCTCTCCACCTTCCTCCTCCTCCTTCACTTCGCCAATTTTCTTCTCCCAATAATACTAATAATAACAATGAGTGGATGAACCAGAATCAATATCCGAAGTTTCCTCTTCCTGCTGACTCAGCAACAACAACAACAACAAGTCCACCATAGCTATGGCTTCCCTCCTTCTGCCTTCTCTCTCATGCATAGGCTATGGCGGACTACTGAGGGCCCTGCTCTCCTGTCCAAAGGACAACCCAAAGCAGCTATGCTGCTGCTGACTGGTCCGCCATGCCAAGCTCTGCCTCGAGTTTCCTTGGTGTGGCACTACCCCAACTGGGAACTTCCAGATGCATCGCACAACGAGGTGATGAAGATGGTGTCCACCATAGCCAGGGTAGGTGCCTCACCACTCTCCTCCTTCGCCCCCTTTTTCCTCCTCCTCAGGCTGGGCTGCTCGCCATAGCCAGGCTGAGCACCTAGGCTTCCCTTCACCTCCAGCTAGCGCTGTATCAGCCCAGCGCTCCGCTCAGCAGCATGTCGCCAATCCTTGCATACCGCAAATGAGGAGGAGCTACTTGCTCCTCCGGAAGATATAGCGGCCTACTGGCCTCTTGGGCGATGACTTCCTAGGCCGAGCGGCCTCCCAGCAACCGGTAACTCCTCCCTTTCGGAGGGAAACATCATTGCAGACTCTGCTATCCTTCGATGTTGCATACCGTATAGGTGCAGACCAGAACAAGAACCGACCTTTCAATACAAAGTATAAGATAGCACAGCGGAAGACTTAGATACCAATGATCCGAACAATCAATATTGCAATGCAGCCCCAAACATACATCATCATCATCATTCCATGGTGTGAAGGGGTCTGGCGCTTCACACAGGAAGACTGCGCCAGCCCCAACCATACACAGAC